TGCAGAACTCCCAAGAGATTTTTAAAATTTTGACAACACAGTTTTGTGAAACACGGAATGAACTAGATAGGAGAAAAAGCATCAGTAGAGGACAACTAAGACAAAAGGAATAACTAAGATAAAAGGAATAATGTTGTAAAATTCTGTACAAAATTTTTTCAGCATCTTAAATGTACAGTGAAAGATAAAAGCAACTCTGATCTAAAAAAACACCCTTTGGTTCTTCTAGATGACCTTAACTTTAGACATAAATAAAAACTGTTAATAAAACTGCCAAAGAACACTATTCTATAAGCCAGTTATTTCTAAAAAAGATGTACTGGTTTTGGCTGTGATCAAGTTAAATTTTAGTCATAGCAGGTTGTAAGGAGCTGGATGTTGATAACACAGGGATGTTTAGTTATTGCTGCACAGTGCGTTTTCAGAGCATCAAGGCCTTCTTTCTATTTCTAGTAATACATGAAAGTAAAATAGTTATTTTAAAATGAAACTAATTCCACTGTAAAGCAGAAAAAAACCCCATGGAAGTATCTATAAAAACATGTAAAACTCTAAGTTTGTTTTAAACAAACTGTACTATTTTGTTGCTTTAAGGATATCCCTTTAAGAAAACTTACATTCCAAGTCATGGTACAGTAGCTCAAAGTCTTCATTTGTTTTAGGATTCAGTTTTTTCTCATATTCCCTCCACAATTTTTCTTCTTTCTCTCTTTTTTTCTGTAATTCTTCTTGTGCCTCCCATGCCAGCCTTAACCACTTTTTTTCCTTCAGATTTTGTACTAAATTTATAGCATGCCAACGACGGAAATATTTCTGTAATACTATTGCCTATATGTGATACAATATCAAAAAAATAATGAATTTAAAACAAAACAACATAGTATTTTGGAGCATAGTATTATTTTTTAACTGTTCTTTTCTCCAGCTTCCTAACTACATTTTCTAAGATTTTTCTTATAAAATCAGTCATGTGCTATTAGTTTAAGCACTAGTATGATTACTCAGTTAAGTAACTGCAGGAATTTAGCCAGTGAGTACAGTGGATAAAATAGATTCAAATAATCAGACATAAACTACATTCAAATATCAATTTTCCTTTTTCAAATCTCCCCTTAAAAATTCATTTTGCCATGTACTCTTTTTATTCTTTTCCTTATCTTACTACCAATTTTTCTAATTACAAAAATCAACACATAGACACATAATCAACTGCATTTTATTTGTGAACAAATAATGAAAGTGAAATTACTAAAGCTGTTATGACAGAAAACGAAAAAAGAAAATTAAATCATTGACCTTCCCAAGCTGTGGCTATTGAGGACTGGGGAAATGTCTCTGATATGTTAGGGGAGGATACTGCACAAGCCTCACCTTCTGCTGTCTGAGTTAGCACTTGCACTACAAACAGTTCAGTCAGATCAATGCCATGAGGCACCAAGCATTGTTGAGGATTGAAAGCTATCAAGCACAAAATCATACTAATACAGTTGCACTATCTCTGGTAATATCTTAATCTAAAACTTCTCTTGAATATGTCTTCAAACAGTATTTCAATATGGACCTATACTGAACTGTGCAAATCCATCAATGTGAACCAACACCAGGATGACAGCTCTCTACTGTGCATTGTAAATCACCTATAGATACATTACAGACTTAGCAAGTGTCACTAAAGACCACAGTAAAACATATTGGTAGTCCTGAGGAAATTACTCCCTACTTGGGTTCCACTTCTACAAGATGCTCATTTGCAATCAGCTAAAGCTGACCAATTTAAGAAGTTCTTACAAGAAAACCTCTACCCAGAAAATTTCAAAGATCTTGCCAACCATGTCAATGCAATTATTCTACTTAGACACTTGAGGAATCAACTGTTTCTCCATTCAGCTGGATTCAGACTGTCTGTTTTCAGCAATCAAATTAATAACAAGAGCATTTACAAAGCAGTGCCTCATCTAACACAATTTAGGGCACAATTTGAGTTAAATGTGCAGTCACAGAACACATGGTTTTCAAAAAGCAGACTGGAATGCCTAAATGGCATCCTCTGCACAATGAATATGCAGAATCTTTAATCTGAATTGCCTTCATGAGGCAACTCAGTGCACCAGAAAACCCCATAGACCCACTGCCTGTGTTTTAACAACCCATTTCTACTTTAGTATCAAAGCAGGGAGCTTGAACAAAATCCAAAACAGATCAGTTTGCCCAAGATAACCTATTAAGTCTGATAAAAAAACCCCAACCAAACAGACAAGGAACAATAGATTGTTCTGAAATAGATTGTTATCAAACAATGGATTGCTCTCAAAACTCAAAAGCTTAATTGCAGATCTCCTAAATCCTAACCCAATACTCCATTTATTTCAGGCCATACATTAGGCATGTAACTTAGGTTCTTTCAAAGAGATCATGAGAATGTTGTAAGAACAAGCCTGTTTTAATCCTTAATGCTCTACATGGAAACTTAACTGTCACTGTGAGACAAAACAGTAATTTCAGAATTCTTAATATTTAAGAGATTGCAAAGTATCAAATGTCACTAAAATCACAGAGCAAACACGCACTTCCCCTGTATCTGAAAGATTACAAAAGATGAGCATAAGAAGACATTTTACAGTTCACTTTTAAATTCTGTCTCTGGACACTCTGAACACTCATTAAATATTCAGATAACCTTTACAATACATTATTTTACAGAGAGTTTCCAACAGATAAGGACTTACTGCTTCAAGTCTACGTTTATGGTACTCCTCTGCTGTAAAATACTTTCCAGGTGTTATCAGTTTGTCAGTCATGTTTGATACATAAAGGCCAGTTTTAGTCATCTGTGTTGATGTTGTATTTCTTGTTTGTTGCTGCATATTTTTTTCCACAACCGTCTGGGGAAAAAATGCATGTCAGATTAGAAGAAAACACACAGAGATATTTTTTCCACATTACATTAAGTGGCAAAATTAGCTCTTTGCAATAAAAATCACAAGAATAATGATATTTATCTTCTAAATACTTTCATTTGCACATTTATCTCAGATTTACTTCCTCTTTCCTATCAGAAATAGTGTCAGATTCTATTCCATCTGGCAAAAACAACATTCTAAAAGGATATAACAAAGCGTTTACCTGTGTTTCCCTACAAAATAACTGAATTCCTTTGTCAGGTCGTTTTTTGGGTTTTGTTTGTGATCCTGCATTATGAAGTTCCACTCCTGTTGACACATTCCTAAATCCACCCAGAAAAGGTTTATTATAGGTAGGTCTTTCAACTTTTACAACTACTTCTTGAAATGAATTCGAACCTGTTAAAATGGAAGTTCCAAAATAGAAATACTGATTCTTTCAGTAATGCATCTAGATTAGACCATAATTACATAAGTATCAATAAACCTGCAAAAGCAGCATTTACCTGTTTGCACTCTGACAGTTAGGACATCCGGCATGTGGTAATCCTGTTGAATGACTTCTCCAGGGAAATGTTCCTGATCCTCAGACTGGACAGTTTCATCAGAATTAGGCCCAATCTTCCTAGGCATTTCATTATCCTCAATCATGCTTGCTAAAAATAAAACCAAAATTAATTCCTGAGAAGCTTCTTAAAACAAACAAATAACTCTTTCAACTTTACCCCAGGATGATTTTATTGTAACACTACAACACAGCATAATCATCTTTTTTTCAGCTAAAAGACAGTCTATTTGCAAGCTGAAATAGTATTATCATTCAATTTTAAAGGCAGTACCTAATGTAATATTGTCACCACATAAAGATATTCCTAGCCAGCTACTCAGAGTGAGAGCAGATGAATGGAACCCAGCAATGAGGAAAGTAGTCAACAAGTCCATACTAGGAATTGTTATTCACTGTGCTCAGGTGCTGAACAGGATATGCTCCGCTCTCCTCTGAAGAACTAAGAAAATGGGGTCCTATATTGGGAAGAGGAAGTGACTGGAGACACCCAGAACACAAAGTAACAGGTATAGGAAATGATGGAGCATTTGGGAGACTGCAGGAGAAAGACACGGATAAAGAAGGGTGGCAGGTAAGTTACAGGGCAATCTAAGAAAGGTAAAATGGTAAGGTGATTTCTATAATGCTGCCTAAACTGTTAATTTAAATGCACATACAAAATATGTATACCTACTCATACACATTTCTGGAAATAAGGATCATTCTATAAAATGCCATCTAGAAATGACTACTACAGTTTGAGATAAAGAATACCTTCCTTACCTTTGGAGTATGTTTCATATGAGAATTTTAAAAGTTACTGCAGGACCAAATCCCAGCAAGCATAAACAGAATGAGGGTGTGTGGGGGTGCAAAAAGCTATAACCAAACTGAAGAAAAAATATCTCTTTAAAACATTAATGCCCAGCACTTTAACAACTTCTTTACCTGTCTCTGTCCCATTTGCTGTATTCTCTGGTAGTACTGAATTTTGAGAAGGAGACTGCTGGTCCCAGCCCTCCTCTGACTGTGCAGTGCCTGCAGGTTCTGGGAGCAGAGCCTTCTCTGCTGGGTCCCCAGCCTCTCCGACTGCTTTTGCTTGTGAGGATGCAGGTGATTGCTCTGCACCTGACCCTTCTGATGTAGCAACTTCAAAGCCATCTGATACATCTTCCATTTCCTAAAGCATCAGTTGCAAGCTTTTAACCTTTCTGCAAGAATAATCACAGGATCGATTATAAATTGCACACTGGCACATTTCTACTACCAGAATTATGGGTAACTTACTGTCCTGAAAAGCTTTCCCTGTATCCATTCCCAAAAGGCCTATTGAGAACAGTATGAGATCTTTGCTTCCACCAAACAGAAAGCACTTGTGGCTGGCGTTTACCAAACATAATACTCCAAGGCAGGTAGCCGGCACAATTTTTTTTACCTCTCGTTCTCTGCCTATAGAACAAGATGGTCCAAGGGGTCATTAGCCAGAGACAGCACACCCTTACGGCTTTCCGAGTTGCCACCGAAATTATTCGGGCTGGAAGAGTCCTAAGCCCATGCTCCTCAATATAAAAACACAACCAAATCGCACGACCCGGGACGCAGCTCCGGGGGGAAGCCCGGGCTGCCAGACCGCTCGGGAGGGCGGATCCCCGGCTCAGCGCGCACCGGGGCCGGGGGTGCGGGCCCCGCAGCTGCCCCGCGGCACCTCCGGCCCGCGGCTCCGGACGGGCGCGGCCGGCCCCGGCCCCGGCGGCGGCGCGGTAGCCACGGCAACCGGGCCGGGCCCCCGGGGCAGGAGCGTGCGCACTGCGGAGCGGGGCCGGCCGGGCGGGCTGGGAACACCCCGGGACGAGCAGGGTCGGGAAGAGAGAGAGGAAAGGGAAGCGGTGCGGAAGGACGAGCAGCTGCCCCGGCTCCCTCCAGCCCCTGCACGAACCCGTGCTGGATCACCCGCAGCGGCCGTGCCCACGCTGTGACCCTGAGTGGGGCGATGTGAGCTCGTACCAGCCCATAGCGGCACTAATGTACGAAAACACCGTTTTCCCTTTTAGCCTTCTGCTGTAGATAAAAGCAGAAGTTGTACTAAACCCCCAGAACTCTTGGATATCGACAAGGGGTGTTGTGGGTGAGTGGTGGCAGCCTTCGTGCCACACACCGTCGCTTCCGAGCTGTGCGGCAGTGCCTACCCGTGACATGGGCTGTGCCCGTGGGTTGTGCCGTTCTCCCCGGAGGGTCCGTGGTGTGAGCATGGAGGCTGTTAACTGGAAACTAAAGACATGCAAATCAGAATTAAAACCATAAGAAATTGGACTTCCTGGTGTTTGAGGTGCCATTTCTGACACAACTCCTGCAAACGTTTTCAGCATGCTACAAGAAAACTAAAAGGACAGTCACATCACACAACTTTCAGATGTGAAATGTTCAGTTCTGTCTTGCAATTCCAGGAGAATCCTGAAAAAAAGCATTTCAATTATTATTGAATTCAAATGGATACCCAATAATTGTATGCCATGATTGTTACCATGTTTCCCAGACATTGTTTGGCACTTGAACGTGGGCCTCCTTCCCATCAAAAGTACAGAAATCTCCCATTACCACTGCTAATGCTTTTTTTTCTAAGACCTTGTTTGAACTCCCAGAATAGGATCACCATTAATCCTATAGAAAGATATTGTCATTTGTGCCACTTTCTCACTGTTATATAGTTGATTAAACATTCAAGTTCATTTTTGAGTTGCAATGACTTTTTTTTTTCCTAATGAAATAGCAGATAAGCTTTGAATATTAAAATAAAAAGGAGCTTTCACTCATCTCCTATTGGTTTTGGTTTCAGGTTCAGAACACAGCCACTTGGGATAGGTTAAGCAGCACTGATGGCAGGTTAAGAATGGCAAAACATCAGTACTTGCTCTGCTCTCATGATGGGAAAGTTGTTTTCCTGGCGTAACAGGCTCTGTCTCTGCTAGGCCACATCCTTGCAGATAAGCTACTTTTTTATTCATATGACTTCAATCAGATGATCACAAAGTGTTTTAAAGATCTAAAGTTGGTTAACTAAAGCTTGCAGTGGTTTACCTTACCATATTACAACAGATTATAAAATTATTTGCACCATCATGTATTTCCAACAATTAAAGGAGAAAAATCAAGCAAAATCATTAGCCTTTAAATTTTACCTTGCTAGCATATTCCTTTTGGAATAAATTAGGACCTGTATGGAGGACACAGATGTGAAAGGAAGAGGAGAGTATGCTTTTATCTGTGAAACTGAGTTTTAAGAGGCCATATATCAAACTTCAGTAGAAGTGGGCCATGAAAAAAACTTCCTCTCCCCTGGAGCACAATGAATGAGCTTATAGGAGAGCTGTTTTAAATCACATGACAAATACATCTTTGGAAGTAGAGAAAATTGAACAAGAAGAGACTTCAGCAAATGTCTCAGTTATGGAAGAGCAGAAAGAATTCCAATAGTTGCTACCATATTCTGGCAACTTTCCTTCCCCTCACCTCCAGTATTTCATGCTAGACTTTGTTGTGTTGTTTGTTTTTTTTTAATTTATTTTGATTCCTTTTATGTCAGCTTAATACTTATTACCGAAATCCATTAATTTTCATTACTCATGTGACAACATTGGCCCTCATTCAAGTCTGTAATCCCTTAATATTTCTCATGTGAAAATTGTGTTTGTTAACTTTAGCAAAGTCCTCTTCTGGAATGCCATCTAGTGGTTTTACTTAGGAAAAGACCAGTTTCTACCTTGGTCAAGACTGAAAAATCCTTCAAAATCAAACAATGAAACTAAATATTTTTCACTTTTTAAATTTTCAAAATCTGAAAATTTCTGTAATTATAATAATAATTGGAGGGGGGGGGGGAAATGCAATGCTAAAGAATGCAGTGAAAATCGTTTCTGGAGTGAATACCTTGGGAATACTGGTTTTCTCTTCTACTGACCTACCGCCCAATACCATTGCATAAAATATTACATAAATTCATAATTAATTATTTATAATAATGATGTCACAAGTAAATTTATAAGCCTAAAAACGATGAAAAAATAGCTATGACCAAATATGCTGTGTAATGTAAGCAGTGCATATACAAATTCTTAGTAAACTCCAGATTTTTGTGATATAGCTATATTCCTGTCTTTAAACTTGCATGAATGTTACTAATGGTCTTAAAAAAAACATCAGGAAAGGCAAACCTGCACAGTACCCTTAGATCTAGTTTGGATATTTTAACTGGCATTTATAAGATTAAATCTCTAAACAAAAGCTTTCAAAAGAATCACAGAATATCCTGAGTTCCCAGATCACAGAATATTCTGAGCTGGAACAGACCTGCAAGGGACCATCAAGTCCAACTCTTAAATGAACAACCCATCCAGGGACTGAGCCCACATCCTGGTGTGATTAGCCCCTGCTTTAACCAACTGAGCTAATCTCAGTGCTCAACCACCCTGTGGTTGAAAAACATTTCCTAATAGCAAACCTATACCCCTTGTGATACAGCTTCATGCTGTTTCCTTGGGTCCTGTCACTGGTCACAAGACATGAGCCCCTGCTCTTCCACTTCCCCTTGTGAGAATGTGGAAGACCACAATGAGGTCTCCCCTCAATCTCCTCCGCTCCAGACTGAACAGGCTACAGCCTGTCCACTGACCTCAGCCACTGCTCATATGGCTGCCCCTCAAGGCCCTTCACCAGCTTCCTTACCCTCCTTTGGACACTATCTAAAAGTTCTTTATCTAAAAGGATCTTTTAGTTCTTTTACTATCTAAAAGCATCTTTATCTTTTTTGTGGTGCCCAGACCAGCCCCCAGCACTTGAGATGAGGCCGCCCCAGAGTGGGACCATCCCCTCCCTTGCCCGGCTGGCGATGCTGTGTCTGCTGCACCCCAGGACAGGGCTGGCCCTCCTGGCTGCCAGGGCGCTGCTGACTCATGTTCAACTTGCCATCCATCAGGACCACCAGGTCTCTTTCTGCAGCACTGCCTTCCAGTATCCCATTCCTTGGCCTGTCACTACATCCAGGGTAGCCCCATCCCATGCAGAATCCAGCAATTGTGTCTCCAGATGGTGATGGCCCATCTCTGTAATCTGTTGACGTCTCTCTGCCTTTGAGGGAGCCAACAGCTCCTCCCACAGCAGTGTCATCAGCAAATTTCCTGAGTATCCCTTCCTGTCCTGCCTCTAAGTTGTTAATGAAGATACTGAAGAGCACTGGGTCTAAGATGGAGCCCTGTGGGACACAACTGGTGACCGGTAGCCAGCCTGATGTCACCCCATTTACTGCAACACTTAACACTTGAGATGTGATTCAACAATACACCAATGCAAGTCTACACAATTCTCTAAGATCCCAATACTAAGGTTTGTGCCACAGGTATTATGCCAGGTATGGTAACCTACCTGTTAACAAGAAACCTACTGCCATAAATTTGAGTAGCAGACTTCTTTCTCCCCGTCATGTCTCCCCTCTTCCCAGTACCTCCCGCAAGCCAGAGATAGTGTTTAGTTATGTGGGCAGTAGGGTCAGCCAGGGCAGGACATGCATTCAGCTGAAACCTAAAATCCTGTTCTTTTTGGGAAGCATTAGATCACTCACTGCAGCACCTGCATGGCCATTAAGACTGTCAGAAGTAGCAAAAATACACAACCAAAGGTGGGACAAAATCATCATACTTTTCTGCAACTTGGATTTTGATTTCAAGTGGCCTATAATGTCTGTATTTTTAACATACAAACACGTATTATAAAAAATACCCTGGTAATATAAAATACAAAAAATTAAATAAACAAAAGGTTGTAGGAATGCCAGAAAGAATTTTCTTAAAACCATTTTTTTTGCAAGAAATTGGCAGCAGACTTTAGATTGCTAAATGTAAGTGGACAAAATGTATTTTAATGAAGTGATTATCTTTAATTTTAAGACAACTGTCAGTAACAATAGATTAATAATTAATTTTTTATTTTTACTTTCAAGAGGTTACACCATTTTGAAAATTATATTGGCCATCTCCACTGATTAGAAGGAGGTTCTTCAACTAGAGGCTCCCATGGTTTCCACTGTACCATTTTTCTTGCCAGCGACAGCTCGTTTTCAGCCTGTTAATAAACACCATACACAAAGTCTTAAATTTTATACAATTGCCAAAATATTCAATTACCTCTATGTCAGTTAATTACCTCAGTGATGTCACTATCTATCATGGTGACAGACTACCAGAAATTTCACCTATAATTATCAAAGGAACTGTATGCTTTGGGGGGTTGTTCTTTTAAAAGAATTCCCATCACCCCTAAATACCCAAACAGACATTCTGTTCAGAGAGAAATTCCCAATGACAGCTTAATGATATTTTCCACTTGGTTTGGATTATCCCCAATATTATTCAATCCTCTTCTGTCCTTTTCACTGATTTAGACTCTATAAGAAGCGATGTAGGTATACATGCTTATCTGTAAGCATAATGCAAGAAACAGTTGTTAATTTGTTATGTTTTAGCAAGGCCATCCCACCACTACATGACAATTTGTTTTCAGGGGTTTTTCTTCTGTTTGACTGTTTTGCAGCAAAGGAAGATACACAAAACTTCGTTTTCTGAACAAAAGCTCAGCCCAAGGGCACTAAAAAACACTGCTACATTTGTACTTCATCTCAACTTCTCCCTCTTTACCTGTACAATGACTTCTTCTATCTGACCACTATTCAGTTTGTCCTGTAGTTTTTGCACATCAGACTCCTGTGTGTTCAAATACATACAATAAAATGTTTTAGTGAGAGTAGAAAGCCCATGAAAAGCATGAACACAGCAATTTAACCAGATCACACTCCAGTCTTTCTCAGAACCAGCTGGCTTGCATCATTTTATATTATCAAAGAAATCTCACACTCATTTGTTACCAAGAAGCAAATATCAACACTCAATTATAAATACAATGAATGAATGCTATTTACTGAATCCAAAGAAGTATTAGCAGATAAAGGCTTTAGTTTTTATCTTGGAAGAGTCTTGTTCTTAGATTTTTATAGCATAATATGCAAGCTTTTAATTATCACCTTAAATACACAATAACAGTATTGCAGAGTTTAATGTAACAAAAAGTGGTCTTAAATATTGAAGGCAAGGATCGTGCTAAGATACACTGGCAAGAGCACATACATTTTTTTGTGAATGTGTGTGAAATTACCACTTTTCTAGGAATCTTTAAAAAAAAGCTACGTTTGCTTCTAATTTTCACAAAACAGCAGCAGGAAATTAACAATTCTTCTTCATATGCCATCAAAATATCCCAGTCAATAACAAAAAATAAACCTTGATACTTCGATTGTTTCTGAATTGATATCTGAAAGTTACATGTGCACCTACGAAAGAGCCAGGCACAGCAAAAATCACCTCCTACCTATTTTTTTTATGTGTAGCATTACTGAAATAACACTGTACTTACCTTTTTCACCAAATCAAATCGCTCATTTACAATCTGCTCGGTGTATTTCCTGTAAGCTGCATCTTTGGGAATGTTTTCCAGGACACCAAGGATTTTTGTGTACAGTATTCGCAGGCGCTGAAGTGATCACAAGACATGGTTAAAATACACAAATGCAATTATTTATCTTCTTGTCCTACCACACTTACTAAGCTATTATCTATACACAAAATATGGTATTCAATCCAGAAGTGTAAGATCAACAAATAGTTAAGTCTGAGACACTGAACTCCATCTTGGGTGGGGACGGTCATGTTCCTCAAAGGAAAAAAAGAAAAGAAAAAACAAAGTTGCAATCTGAACACACTTGATGCAAAATGAAAAAAAACAGTAAGGGCTGTAAAATGCTCTTAAAAAAAGAAAAAAAAAAAAAAGAGGCAAATTCACATGTAACCCATCTGATACTGAAAATTTACCTCAGGAAGTTACAAAGCTATTATAATGGAGGGGTTTTTGTCACTTTTCCTCATGCTGGTGCAAAGTTCTGAGTACCAGATAGATTTAAATTAAACCTGAAACTTTTACTGCTGGATTTAAATACAGGGATTAAGGACACATTGTGGTGAATAAATTCACACTTTTGTACTGGGTAATTGTATCTACCTGACAAGGAATGGATGTCCTATAGGAACAATAAGAAATAGAAGCAGAATACTGAAAGAAGTACATGGAAGAAAAAACAGGAAACAAAAAGAAGATTGGCAAAGAATCTAAACTTCAATTAAACTGTTATTTACTCTTAGCTTTAAGTTGCTGAAAAGACTAAAGTGTACAAAGTTGATCCAGAAGGTGTCTGACAAGGCTGCAGACTGAGCTAGAATAATTTCTACCAAACAGCAGTTATTTTTGCAAGGTTCTTTTTTATAGCATTCTTAAGTATTGGAGTCAAAAGCATTTTTGAAATAAAATTGCTGTATAATAAATTTCAAAGTGGAGAACTTAAAAAAAAAATCACTGAAGTTCTTTCAAAGCTAATGCCTCCTGAATAAGCATGATGTGACAAACATACTTACACTACTGAGCCTGAGGAGGTAAAAAGAAAGCCATATATTGCTATGAGAACCACCACATGCAGTTTCCAAGTACCACTGGAGTATTCCAATCTCAGCACTGCTTGCCATCCCAGGGCCTCGGCGTGGCTTTGCACATGGCTAGTCTCTATCATCTAAGACTAGGCTATCCCTTTAGTATAAATAATTTCAATATATGAGTACACAGCAAAGCAGCAAAAACATTTTGACCTGAGCAGCAGGAATTACATTTATGAAGAACTGAATTTAAAGAGTTCTTTGTTTTGGTATTACTGATGAAAGAAAGCAAATATTGGTTCATAAAGATACTAACACTAGAGAGGTTTTTGAAATCAGTGCATGCAACAAAAACTACATGTGTAAAATAACTTACAATGACATGCATTATATCTTTATCACAGCGGAAAATTTTAATTATTTCATTCAGCTGGCACCAGATTAAGATATACCACATACCTACACATGCAAACACATCACAAAAATCTTAGAGCTCACTGAGGGTTTCCATTACTACAGAACGAGACGTGTTACATACCTCATGAGGGTTCTCGGCTACAGCCAGTCCCACAAGTCCAGTGGTCTGCAGACAGAGCATAAACATACTTAACACGCCTAAGCATCCATTTCCACACTAATTATTTTGACTCAATATACACCTGACAGGGACCATTCCGTGAAACCAGCCCTGCCTCCTGCCATACGCCCGTTATCCCAGAGTTCCAGTGCTCCAAGAGGGAGCAGCTCACCTTACCAGAATCAGGATCATAAAACATCCTGAGGTGGAAGGGACTCACAAGGATCATCCACTCCAACTCCTGCCCTGCACAGCACCATCCCCAAGTGCAACACCCTGTGCCTGAGAGCACTGTCCAAACGCTTCTTGAATTCTGTCAAGCTGGTGCTGTGACCACTTCCCTGAGGAGCCTGTTCCAGTGCCCAAACACCCTCTGGGTGGACCACCTTTTTCTGAGATCCAACCTAAACCTCCCTGACAGAACTTCAGGCCATTCCCTCGGGTTCTGTCACTGGTCGCCACCGAGATCAGAGCCTGCCCCTCCTCTTCTCCTCATGAGACAGCTGTAACTGCAATGAGGACTCCCCTCAGCCTCCTCTTCTCCCAGCTGAACAGACAAACGACCTCACCTGCTGCTAATAGGGCTACTCCTACAATCTCTTTAACATCTCCGTTGCTGTCCTTGGATGCTCTCTAGTAGCTTAGTATCTTCCTCACATCGCAGCGATCAAAGCACTCAAGGCGAGGCCGCCTCAGTGCAGTGCAGAGCGGCACAATCCCTTCCTCCGGCCGGCTGGCATGCTGTGCCTGCTGCGCACCGGGCAGCTCGCACCAGCCCCGGCGCCCCCGGCTCCAGCCGCCCCCGGCTGCCGGGGAGAGCACCCAGGCCCTGCGCTGCCTTTCCCTCGCAGGGTGGGCGCTCGCTCTCACCCCACGGCTCCGGCTCTCCTTGCCCTCCCCCAGACAGGCGGACCCGGCGCAGGACGCGGCTCAAGGCCCTCAGCAGCGCCTCACCTTCCTCAGCGCCCCCGCCATGGCCGCGCTCGCGGCGCCCTCAGAGGACGCAGCGGAGGGCGCCGGGCTGCGCATGCGCCGCAGCGGCGCCGGCCGGCGGGGCCGCAGCAGTGCGCATGCGCCGGGGCCGCTGCGGTGCGGGCTGCGAGGGGCGGCGTCGCTTCGTAAGGCAAAAAACGCCGTAAAACAGAGCTGGGCGGGAATTAGGGAACTTTATTCAGGACCTTGAGATAGAGACAGTGGGACAAAAGAGCAATGAAAAGACAGTTTAAATTATTGGTAAGAGATGAACATGATGTTCATTTGAAGATCCACTTGTCCCTCTGTTAAGTGTTATGCTTAGTTGATAACTTAAGGGGTGAGTTTTGCGTAGTAATACTTCATAATAATTATGTTGTATGTTTGTATCTTATTCTGGACAACTCGTTCTTTATGATTCCCTTGTCCTGCTCTTGAGCTCCTCTTTTTCAGAACTGATCAGCAAACTCCATCGCGTTTCGGAATACCTTTGATTTCTCCCTGGAAGCTGTCCTTTGATAAAACAAGCACTTCCTCCAATCTCCAACTAAAGCAAAGTGGCTAATGCAGTTTATATCAGTGTTCAGGGTTTGTGTTTCCCCACGCCTGGGTTCGTTGCAATTGCATCGGAAAGAACTGGGGTTTCTTTCCTAGGTACTGAAATTCTTTCTCTTTCCAAAATAACATTCTTTAAAAGTTCCTGCCTTTCTTTTTATTGGACCTGCCGTGTATTTTCCCCTTCTCTCTGATGGTCCAACCAGATGATCAATGTCCTGATGACACAAACAGACCACAGCACAAATGGTTCTGCGCCTGGCGATCTTTTAACACAGCATCGTTCCAGCAGCAGTTTTGAGTGACTGTTTAGACAGCCCTAAGCACATAGGAGTCCTTGCCACATCCTAACAAAGTGAAAAACGGCCCTATTGATGAAAATATTAGTGAAATTAATCTCAAAGTGGTACGTGGGGAATTCTCCAAACTGGTCAAATCCCATTTCAATACATGATGTATTTCAAAATACAACAAAGCTACGAAGCTACGAAGTATTATCAGTGTACAGTCAACAAGTACCTCACTTTGAAAACAAACAAAAAAAAACCCCAAACCACCCACACAGCATTTCACAGTTTATTTAATATCTGTTTTACACTAGGGATTCTGTAAGGACTATTATCCTATGTGTTAATATTCAGTATGTAGGTAACCTCAGAAGGCCTTGCTATAGCTCTTTGTCCCATGTTTATCTCACCAATGTTTATCTCATGGTATTATATCTCAAATTACTATGTGATGTGGTATATGTACAACAACTTACTTGTTCTGCATGAAATATAATTGATGGCTTTATATTTAGTAATTATGTACTAAATATAAAGCCATAATACATAAATATAAATATAAATATAAATATAAATAAATATAAATATAAATATAAATATAAATATAAATATAAATATAAATATAAATATAAATATAGGATCAGGCACTTCATGCACAATGCATAATGTTATTAAAAATATCTGAAAATCAAAACAATACCATGTTTGTAATGTGTATATGTACTAATTCTGATGGTGTTCTGGTTACGTAAAAGAACTGAAAGTAAATCATTGCAACATTTTTGTTCTTTATTATAAATACATATTTTTAATTTTTTAATTAGATAAGAATTGTTTCTGTCTGCTTCTGTTATACTGGGGTTTTTAGGGGTGTGCCACCTCTAGTTAGGTCGCACTGGCCAAAGAAGTTGCAGTGAGTATTATTTATCATCATTAAATGTTTTTGTTGATCTTGCATTCAAAGATTGAAATGCATGTAGTGCCTTAAGCTTAAGTTAAGCTTACACTTTTACAGTTCTATAAATTCAAGTGAGTTGAAAGTCATGGAGTCATGGAAAGTCACTGTAAAATTTAATTTCATTTGAACAATTAAAGACAAGATGGAAAGTTTGGGGTTTTTTTTCAGTTTGTTGTGTACCCTTATTGTCTGTTCATTATGGTAAAAATGGTAAGTAATTGGTTAAAACCAGAACAACACAGGTTTTGAATCAATGATGTTTCCAGCTTCTTCTTTATCCCATGTTTAGCTTGCTGGGTACTGCTGTTCTTGATCTTACTCTGGGGTTATTCACTATTTTCATCACTACTGTCTGTGGTGCCATGCTTCCTGCTTCTTTGTCCAGCTTCAAGTTATTAAACTAGTTAAATAAGTACTGTAATTGTCTGTCATTGAATCTATAAAGCTTTGCATCTTGTCAGTCTCAGAGAGAGATTAGAGTTCGGTGAGATAATATGGTGGGATCTGCAACTAGTTAAAGGCTAAACCTTCTCAAATTTGTTGTGATTTATGTAAATATGTTTCCATATGTTATTACCATAGTGCTTGAGAATAATTGGCAAATAATTAATTTTCTTAATGGGAGTTGTTTAACCAATGAGGACACAGATAATCTTATATCCCCAGACCTCGTGTTACATTTGATGAGATTTTAGAGAAGTCATGTGTAATACTTTCCTGAGGGTTGAGTCTGCTTATGTTACAGTTGTACAAGGTCAGACCTTAATTTATCTAGCAACTGCATATTTAATTTTAGAAGTATCACAGGACACCTCAGCTTGCAGGGCACTGTTCCTGGCTGTTCAAAATTCAGGCCCCAGAGTAGCACTGGCAAGATAGTGGGTTGAAATGGTGAGACTGTGGTATGCTCCCCAATTAAACTAACAGAGAAATAGTTTAAAAACATAATACTTAAGAGACTGATTCCAAATTTAGACTGCTAGTAATTATTTTATTGCTATGAATAACCTCTGTGCATGTCTAAGGGCCTTCTATTTACAGAGTAAAGCTAATATTGTCTAGTTTATTTTAAGGATAAGAAATTAGAATAACATTAACTCTCAGACAACCTTATGTGTTTGAAAGCAATAAATGCTTGATACACTTCTTTGCAAGGAAAGATGCAACTTCCATAATTAGCAAGTATTCCAGTATTAGCAAGGAAAAACCAGTAATTTAGAGAGAAAAACATTTTTCTAAGTAAAACATCAAGAAATAATGTCTAGTTTTTCAAGTATGAATATAAAAAAGATCAGAAAAATATCAGGCTACTTGAAATGCTGTTTAAGGAAAATATTCTTTGTAACATAAAAAGCTAAAACTCATTTAGAGTAAGGATTTGCAATTGTTTCCAGTGATCTAGTGTGTGGGTCTGACAATTGAGAAACTGCCAAGGCTGAATGGAAGAAGATTTTCCTGCTGAGCTTTTTAGCCTTTTCATTGCCACATCACGTAATGGAGCAGTGATGTTTCTGTTGCTGCTCAGTGTATCAGCCATGCTGTTTTGTTCCCCTGTGATCCTTGTGGAACATCCATGCTCTGGTCAGACCTTGTACCCTCAGCACAGTGTATTACCAGCAGTCATAGAGCAAATCAGGCTCTCGGGGCGCGTCTAGACCCTTGGCAGCGTGTCCAGCTCTTCTGCTGTGGGGAGCTCTTACTCTACCCTGTCACAGTTACTTGCTACTAACCAACTTTCTCATTTTACAATATGTGAATTTTCGTGGGATAAGATCATTTGAAAACAGCACACACAGCAATTCTGAAACACTGCTGGTCTAAGACCTTTCTGGTTAAGTTCGTGTTCAAGATCTTTATGATGCCTGTGGTGAAATCACTCAGGGGAGTATAGCAAAGCAGCAGAATCTCTGCATAACCAGAGAAAATTTTCTGTGGTGGCCTCTAAACTGATTTATTCCTCTGATATTTTGGAGAGAAAGGAGTCGTAGAAATGAAATACATTCTAATTAAAATAAAATTATTTTATTACTAAAAATCTATCTTGCTTAGCATTCTTAACACATCCTGGAAACACTGATCTTGGGAGTGTATTGATCATCTGACAGGAGTAGACCATATGTGAGCATTGCTAAGAAGTTTTTTTAATACACTAAACTGACTTTTTTTTTCAGAGAATTTGCAATCTGAGGGTCTGATCTAAGGCCTGTGTAAATCTCCAGAAGCCTTTTTGGTTCAGGCTCTGAGGTAAATATAATACGATAGAATATAATAATTCTCAACTTCCCTAAGTAGAGCAACTTCCATAAGGCTGGCAGGGCATGAAGGTCCATCCATGTGGGTCCAATAGGGATCCACTTACTGGACCCCATGTGGGTCCAATAGGGATACACTGATTCATTAAAAACAAGTTTTATCAATGGCATAAAATCTTCAAATGTAGGGTGTTCAAAATGAAAGGTGTGAAAAAGGGGAAGGTAACTTTTGTCTTGAAGCAATTGTGGAGGAAATGAGATTATGAATGTTACATATTTTTCCTTAATAGATTAACTTAACGTAATTAACTGTTTCCTTAGGAGCACTTCTTAGCTGCCAACAAGATATTAATGTGCTCTAAAATGTACTTTCCTTTTAGCTGATGGCAGGTTCAGGTTGTAGTTATGTTCATTGATGTATACTTCTGAAACTGCTAGTCCAGGAGAGATTTTATCTTTGCTCTCTTAAAGGTTTGTGAGTGTTCACAAGAAGAGTGTATTTGTGAGTTAAATGATGGAAGCTTTAAGGTGCCACCAGAATTTGAGAAATGTTAATGAAAATGAGAGGAAAAATGCATAAAAGAACCTTGCCTCTGAATCCTCTGCCTGTCAGTATGGAGTGTATTGCTCACAAGAGGTGAGGGAGAGTGGTATGTGTCCACTTTGTGATGAGCAGTTCATCAGTCTAACTTCCATGTTAAATCTTCTTTTGGCCTGTTATGCTGAAGCCTTGACTATGGACACAATAGGAAGGGACAGAGAACCTTCAGAAAAGCTTGTCCTTTATGAACAACATAAAAGTCTGTTTTTCTAAGCCCCAAATGAAAATGTATTTGTGAATATTCTTTTATTATTCCTGGACTCCTTTTTTTTTTTTTTCGTTCAGAGGTGGCACTCAAGACCCAAGCAGTATATTTTCTCCATTAGGGAAAGTGGGATTGAAGTAGAGATTTTTAACATCTTCCTTCAGATTTCTTTCCTTGTAGTTAAAAATCCAGGCCATGGTTCCAGTGCACATTGAAAGAGGTGAGAAACTGTATTATGTGGGAATCTGAATCCAAGAGACTTTTAGCTTCTGAGTCAATCTAAATGTAAGCCCTTACTAATTTAATTTTGGTTTTCAAGCTTTATCATAATATACTAACTAGGAAGGTATTTGTGGATGGGATTATAATATTGGCTATGGTACTTTGAGTGACTTACTGTTTACAAGAGCAATGCAGAAACTAGTCAGAAGAGAAAGCTGATTAGCACTTCCCCTTGAAAATAAGTTTCAGAAGATTTCTTCTAAATAGCAGTTCCAATGTTCCTTCTCTATTTGCAGGAAGATCTTTCTGTGACAAACATACAATAGGGACTTAGTATAATTGTGTAATATTTGTGAAACATTTTGAGGATGGTAAATGTTCAGTGTGGTAGAAAGAGCACACAACTGCGCAAACTGTGGGAAAAGTAGTTTAAAAATTTAAAAAAAGATTCAACAGGACAAATGTGTTAAGCTGCTTAGATTTAATCAAACAGAGAAACTATCAAAACCCAAAGCTCATTTGGAAAAACCCAGGTAGGTACAGAATATATTAACTTAAAGCTTTCTTTCTTTCTCTGTGTTTTACAACATATAAAGACTGCATTTTACAGTTCAAAAACCTAGAAGACATTGTAAAGAGCAAAATTCCTGACCTTCCAGTTATAATGAGAATTTACTGGTAAGATGGTTGGTTGATGTGATATCATGAGGAAAAAACATAGTGAACATAAGCCACAGTTACAGTTGGTGATATGAACTGAATTTAAGTTGATGACTATAGTTAAAAGGTTTGACATACTCTGTTACTAATCCACTGAGCATTTCAATGACTCTCACACCTTGAAAATAATAGCTGGCATGGCTTCACCATCACCTGACCTTGTGTACCAAACTCATGTGAATGTCCATTAAACTTCACGACTGCAGAAATAGTGCAGAGAGTCCAAAGTCCTTTATCTTCTTTAATAGATTGTTCTTTGGCACTATAAAGATAAAGTAATATTTGTGAGTGTTTGGGGTTTGTTTTGGGGGGTTTTAACATATTAAGGACCACTAAAAGAGGTCATTAATAACATGAGATGAGACAATTTTATTATATCACCTAGTGAGAACAATAGGAAAATTTTAACATCCATGAAGCAAGGTGTCCTGGGATGAAAACAAAACAAACAAACAGAAAACAAAACAAAACAAAAACACACCCTAAAATAAAATAAAGTAGTCCCTTTGCAAATCTGGGCTTTTTGCATGTCATTTTTTCAACTGCATCACGTTTTTCTGTTCCAAGTTTGTAAGGTCAAGTATCTAGGCTTCAAGAACCTGAGATATGCTGTAAAGGAAACTGATCAAAGAGAGTGGTTTCCACTGCACGAGGTTGCAGTTTGGCCAATTCCACAAGTATTTGAAGTCACTTTAGATGGCAGGAAAGGTTAAAATATCGCATAGGATAAAGAGAGCAACAAAGAAACATAGAATAATGAAGACACCAACAGGCTAGAACTGTTAACTAAAAGAAGTATGACCAAGTCCTCCATGGACATAAGCATCTTGCTTATGTTGTTTAAATGGTCCAGCAAATTTTCAGTTTTGGAAAAGTTGCATCAGTTTATATCAGCAAATAAATTAGACCATTTTTAACATTTTGTTCAGAAGCTTACAAACAAAGCAAAAATTAATATTCAGTATTCAGTGTGTTTGGCAGTACTGGTTAAGTTAACATAATTACAAATACTTATAATAAAAACTTAGCATTTAAGAATTTCTGGTATATGTGTGTGTGTTAACAGCCTTGTGCTTTGTTTTATTTTTTTTACCAACTTTCTAACCTCTAGCATCTTATGAATCAATGTGGCAATAAAAAACATGCAATGGAAAACAGCACTAACTTTGTCAGCAAAAACTGGCTTTGTGGAAAAGGTGCAAATGATCCTGGAAAAGGGTGTTTATCCCAATACCATAAATTACAAGGAAAAATGTATTGGTCATCAATGCAAGAAGCTGCAAAACAGAGATGCAAAGACATTGTTGACATTCTGAAGAATTATGGAGATGTGAACATTAAGGACAAATATTGAGTAACACCATTAGAGGTTACAGCTGAATGTGGTTACTGTGATGTGCTGGAGCATTTTAATCATAGTGATACGTAGTCAGGAAAAGAGAAATTCACCTCTGCACTGGCATACATCTTGCCTGAGTGGTGAGGTCTTGTAGGAAAAAAAGGGGAAATTAGCTAGAAGGAAAGGAAGTATACATGACTGTTTCTGCTGGACTGGAGTGATGCTTACATGTTTCTTTAATGCATGTGAAGGAGTGGCAGAGTTGAAAGCAATCCATTTCAGTCAAGGAGAGATTGCTATATGTGTTCTTGCCCTTCTGTGTTTCTCTTTACTCCACTCCATCCCTCCCTCACTTGTACCTTTCCTTCCACATACAGAATTATATTGGTATTAATTAATGAAGTATGTTTGAAATATGTTGGTTTGAAAGTCCTCAGTTGTAATGCTTACAGTCAAAGCAGAGCACTCAGGTGAGCACTTGAACTTGTATCTGTACACCTCTTATTTTGATTTTCAGTTTTATATTTGCCACAAAAAATATTCTGTGCTTTAGTAAAGTTTTAACTTAAATATATCTGAAAATAAGGATTGTTTTTATGGGTTTGGGTTTGGGTTTGTTTTTATGATGATCTATAAATCACTTTGGATATAAATATAAGTTCTTTATCCTCTTTTGAGACGGAGATGTCAAGGCCTTAGCAGATGATCGTGTATCAGTATTGTTTCAAGCAGCTGGAGGATGTAGTCTAGACTGCATAGGTCTGCATTTGAAATATGGAGGAAGTGGCAATGTGCCTGGTGAGGCAAAACTGCTTCCCATACACAAAGTGGCTTATGAGGGGCATTACCTGTGAGTATGAGCTTGGGCTTTACATTTTCTCTAAGAAACAACGTGGCACAAGGTTACATCAAAGATGTCTATAGTGAACTTGCAAATGTATATTTATGTACATTTCTATTTCAGAAGTACCTGTGTTAGATTAGATTTAATTAACTTTTATTTTTAGTATAAACAAAGCAAAATGCAAAGCGTGCTCCTTAGAATTAAGTGAAAACCACTGAAATAACTTAAACACATCTTATTTGACAGTGCGCAAAACTGATGTTTCTGTGTTTTGATCTTTTGTAAGATGTCTAGGTGGTGGCTAAGAACATAGATGGATGATGGTTATTTTCTCCCTGTAAGGAAGTTACACCTGCCTAGTTTTGTTGACTGTTTTTAGGAAGTATCTCATTGCAACCACATCCCAAACTTTAATCCAGAAAAGTGGGTCAAGCACTGTTAATTCTGCTGTAGACAGCCAGAACCAGTGTCTAGAGTTTGTCATTGAAAAGAGTTTGGATGTCAACACTCTCTTATCTGAAGACATAACTTCAAATACTTATGATGACAGAAGAGACACTGCACTTTTTTGTGCTGTTTCTAATAATGAGATTCTTTGCACCAAAATATTGTTCAAAGCAGGAACAAATCCAAACAAGGATCCTTTAAACTGTTCTCGTAGCAGTGAGAGCTGACAGCCATGGAATTGTAAAGCTATTCCTATCTTATGGAGCAGATGTCAACTGCTAATTTTGCCGCTTAATGACACGCATTTCCTCGGTGCATTTGGTATTCTTTGAATGGTGACATGATGCTGAGGCTGTCATGCTCAGTCATGGATATAATGTGGAGATGTGTTTGGACTTTATGTGTCAGGATATCTTTGGAAATTCTTTTCTGTGGCTGGCTTCAGAGCTCAAGCCTATTCCCAGTTGGACTAGTTCTTCAATAAATAATAAAGTAATAAATACATACCTTCCTTGCTTCTCTTCACTTTGCTCTTTTCATTAGCCAGATTTAAACACTCTGGTTTATAGTGTTGAATTAAGGTTAACATACTGTCAAAATCCTTTTTTGAAAACACTCTAAAAATAAAATAGCCATCTCTTATTTTCCTCTCTGAGGTAGAGAAAATGGTGTACATATGGTGGTGATGTGGTTTTATATTTGCATTAATATATTAGAGATTTAGAAAAGAAATTTTTAGAAATCATGAGGAAGTATTCTGGAATTTCTGTTCCTTTTCTAACTAGTGGAGTAGATGTGTTTCCAAAGAAATATTTCTGCTGAACAAAACAGTGCCAAAGATTACAGCAATTTTTATTTTTTTTTTTGCCTTCAAGCCTGTTTATATTAATTGCGGGTTCACAAAGTAAAGATGGAAGAAAATTACTTTTAAAGTAACCTACCTAGGTATCAATTTGACTGTTGTAGGCCATTGCTAGGACTTTGTTTAAATTGTCTTCTGTAATTACTTTAAAATGTGTTCTTCGGCATTTCTCTTCACAGATTTTAAAATTATGGCTTGATATGTTCTCTGTTTCAATACTGTGAGTTTATTGCTGTTCCGTGATTGAGATATTTAGCTGGAAAAGTGGCTTGTGTTTTTTGAAGCTTACACAGATTATATGCCTCGAAGCACAAGAATTCAATTTTTCACAGAAACACAGAAAAAATGAATAGAGATACCATAGACTGGACAAATATCTAACTTCCAATTAATAATGTTATGATTTATTATAGGAAATTTTAATTGCTTATGTCAGGTCACATTCATCCAAAGTGTTCTAGCATACCTTGTACATTAAAGATCATAGTCTTATGTAAAATTCTTCAAACATCTAAATTATTATTATTTTTAGGTATTTTTGCAAACTGTCTGCTCCCTTTGATGTGTGTATGTTTCAAAGCTTAGCAAAATTTAAGGGACTTTAGGTGGGCTCTTTTAAACAAAGAGTAGATTTTGATGGACAAACCATCCTCTTGGTTAACTATTGTAACTTTAATTTTGGTTGCTTCAGAGTTTTGGCAGATCAGTTCTTGAAAAGACTCACCCTCAGTCATGCTGTCATGCACTGCACAGTATGTTTCTGCACATCTAGAGAAAAAAAATCTGACAGAATAAATTTTAAGATATTTAATTTAAAATTATTTGTGATTACTCCTTTTGTTTTTCTACCATCCCTTCCATCTTGGGGAAAGAAAATATGCAGACCCTCCCAACTAAGAAAATATTTCAATTGGTGGATATCAGGATTACATAGAGTATAATCCATTTAACTAAACCCACAACTATCAAATGATTGTGTTGGAAGGGACCTCAAAGTTCCTCTAGTTCCAACCCCCTCCCTACTATGGGTGGGGACATTTGCCATTAGAGCAAGTGTCTCAAAACTGTCTCCAACTTGGCCTTGAGCACTGCCAGGGATGAGCAGCCACAACAACTCAGGGCATCCTGTTATTTCAGAGATAAGCTGGTTATCACACACACACATATTCACACAAACCAAAGCTCAGCTCCAGTATGCTTCTTCCCTGTCCTCTAAACTGACTCTCCATGTTCTTCAGAATTTCTCCTTATTTGCTGAATGTCATTGTCATATAAGACCTAACATTTGAGTCAGAGATGTAAATTCCACTTCCCAAGGCAGCTATATCGGTTTTCTGTGTGTCCTTCTTCATGACAGATTCACTGGAGCAAATGGAAAAAGTGAGAATTACTGGTCTGGGACACAAAGAAGGTTTAACAGAAGGCTTAATTCCTCCTGCTTTCTGTAGGGCTACTATTCATGTATCTTTCTGAGACATAACTTCTGGAGTTTTTGCCAGAAATTTTGACCAGGATGAAAAATAATAATTTAGTCAGTTTTGAAAAATTTCTAAGCATCTGGCATCTGAGCCAGGCCCCTGACAGAAGGATGCCCCAGGTGACTTGTGACTGCAGGCATGGCCTGAGCACAGAGTGCCCAGTGAACCCAACACGGCTGACTGCAAGTCAAGGCTCCACTGGCTAATACCTCTTGGACATAGCAGGATAAATGTATGCTTCCTAACCTATAAACTGGTATTTCCTTGTGGAAATTCTTAATCAGAAATATGGGCCTAATCATAATAAATCTTAAATTGTGGTAATTTTAATTAATACAGTGATCACATCACATCACAAGAATCTGGGTAATTGCATATCTGATACAGTATACTGAACCAGCAAGGGAAACATGATCAAATAAGGCTTTAGACAGGAGATTTTAAATCCCTTCTGTGGCTAGAGCCAAATTCCATTAGTAATTTTAGTTCACGGGCAAAGGTTTATATTTAGGACTTCATACAAGCATCAGGCAGTAGTTACATTGCCTGCAGCATCAAAGCATTCAGATGTTGCACTGAGCATTGCCCCAAGTGTTTAAAATACCATGAACTAGTCCTTTGAATATCACTAGGTAAGCTAAAAAGACATGGTACTGGTTGTGTTTATCTTTTAATCAGTACAGCCAGGCCCTTTTTTTGTTTGGTTGCCTGTTATAGGAGGTGAAGTTTCCTGGTTTAAAGCTTTCTGTCCTTCACCATGGAAGTTGTTTATTTATTGAAGACTTCTGCCCACTCTCACTTCCCTCCCCTTCCACCCCTCCACCTTTCTCAACACTAAAGCAAGTACAACATTATGAGAAAATAGCTTTCATATTTTCAAGGCATCTGTGAACTGAATGGAGGGAGAGGCAAAACTTTATTTTAAATGAAATATGAGGTGAGATAGTCATGGAAAGGGGGATGTTTTCCCCAGGTCAGGTTTATGGCACAGCTAGGAATTGAACACAACTCTTTCCGCTCCCATATTTTGCAGCTAGACCATTTCATGCTACTTCTATGGGCTTGACTATGTGGTGGTAGAAGCAGGAAATGTAACTGGGCCAGAGCTGGTGGTTGTGTGAAAAGACACAAAGGCCTTAATCCCCATCTGGAATAATGAATTGGTAGGGAAAAAACCTTTTTATTTTCCCTACGTGGAGTGTGATTGAACCCTTGCAACACTAGCATTTAATTTTCTTGACTATCTGGGTGTGTCTCACAGGCTGTTCAACCGCAACCCAATTCCATGGCATGCCCACCCCCAGGGGATGTTGTCTACAAGTAATTAAATGCCCTGGCACTGAATCAGGCATGCTGTGGGACAGGGACTCCTATCAATTTGGGGACAATGTTTGAAATCTGGGGTATAATTTGGTTTCTATTTCTCATAAAATCTGACACAAGCAGCTGCATCAGGCTGTGAGTTCTTCAAGGAGCCAAACATTCAACAGTGGTTACATCAGCCTTTAGCCTTTTCAGCACCCGTGGGATGGACTTTGTAGCTGTGAGTGTTTTCAGAGCTCAGTGCGGGAGGGAGAAAACCATAGCCATAAGTCCTGTTTATGGCGAGCTATTCCCTGTAGAAGCCATAATGTTGTGTGCAGGTCATCTATGAAACTCCATGCACTGACTACCATCTAATTTTGGGAGCTGGCACAGCAGAGCTTGTTCTGGGTATCAAGGCAGGGGTAAGGCTGAGGTGGGAAGTGAGCAGTAATTTTACTGCAGCAGTCTGTGTTCTGGCATGGGTTCCAAGTGCCTGAGCTGCCCTTTCTCAGACTATTGCCATCAGTACACGAGTCACACATGGAAAAACGCAGCCACGAAGTCACAGGCTCTTTTGTTTCTGCCTTGGGGTAAGGTAAAGGGATATTTTGTGGGTGTTACTTGGGGCAGAAAAAAACCCTACTAAAATATCCATGGTTTGGCTATGGTTTGCATGGACATAAATTTGTTTTGACTTATCTCTGTAGAACGGGTCTTATCTCTTTTGTTTGTCCATCACTTCCAGGGGCTGGAACATAAGTCTTAGGAGGAATGGCTGGTGCATTGGGGTTCTCCTGCAAAGCTACAAAACTACATTAGTAAATGGTTAGCAGTCATAAGAATGATATAACAGTGTAGCTCTGGTGACATGTTCAATGTATGTAATTTTCAGAATCCAAATTTTCAGTAGAAATCTCTACATCTAATTGGGCGAACCCATTGCCATTTGTCCACGTGTACTGTGCTTGGTAGATATTCCCAGAACTCCTGTTAACGTTAATATGGACTAACAAAAAATAAAAACAAAATAAACCCCTGATGTAATTAAAGACAGAAGAGAATTTACCTGGTTAGAACTGCTGCTGTTATTTCCCTGTGAAGTATATGAATTGTTTATATTGCTGGCATCTCCTTTTAAAAAGAATCTTCATAAACACACACTGTTAAAAAAAAAGTGACAAAGGAAATGCTAAATATAGTAACTACCTGTTTTGCTCTCTATGTATAAAGAAATAGAGTAATTTTTTAAACTGAATGACAAACTGTAGGTTTGGCTAAGTTACATGGGAGAATTGTCTGTGAGTCAGGTATTAACAAAGGATGAAATCCATGCAGTTTTCATAATTACTTATAATTTAATAACTACCTGATATGAACACACATATAACAGTGTATTTGTAAATACCACCATAAATAATATATTGGTAAATTTTACCTTTTTTATTATGCTTCATTTTTAAAAAAGTAGTAGGCTAACTGCATCCCACTGAAATTATCCTTCCAAACCCCACATTTTTTGTGCATTCAGCGACTCCTCTGTTACTTTCTTTGCAATACAGTGGCCTGTACTTCCTTTCCAAACCTGTTGAGCAATATTGAGATGTAATTCCAAACAGCTGCTGTGGTCACCCTATGTCTGTACATCAGTAGCAAGTGAAACGATTTCTATATATAGTTTGTAAATCTGTTGGCAGTGTAAAGCAGACTGAGATTCTTCCTAAGGAGTAAGAGCGGCTATGTGAAAGCAAGAGCATTAAGGCCATCCTTGCGTACAAAGCAGTTTATCTTTTTGGTGTGGCAGAAATAAGGAAATGGCCAGTCTGCAGAGATGTGAAGAAGCACTTGCTTTGGGCAAAACCCTGTCAGGAATAGTTCGTGCTGTCAAAGATAACCAGCTTCATCTAATGCTGTTAATACAGAACATGGCATTGTACTGACATGAGATGATTAAAAAGTATTGGCTGTGTAGGAAGAAAACTGGGAATGGGAACGACATTTATTCAATAAGACTTATTTTTCCCCAATGTCTTCCTTATTTTAGTGTGATTCAGGTAGGCAAAAAGAGCAATAAATCCCAAGTCTGCTGCACCTTTGGCACCAAGCTGCATCCTCTCTGTATAATAAAATAGACCACCAGGATCCATGCACAAAGGTGCCTGTGACATTTGAGCAGTGAGATTTCTTTCTTTTCATTAAGGGTTGAGAAATTTCTTAGTTCAGAAATGTTCTTATTTGCACTCATGTATTTTTACCCCCAGTCCTTCACTGCAGTCAGGTTTACCTGACTCCCCCTGACTCCCCTTCCAGGATGCATCCATACTATCTGCCCATCAGCAGCATTATCAGAGCCCATTCACTTCTTCACTCCCTCTTACTCTTCTGTCTTGATAGGTAAAACAACGCAAACACCCCCACCACTGAAATACATTAGATTAGTGGTTGCTCTGTGACCGGTTGGTATATGGTGCATAATTATGTCCCCAGCAACTGTTGAGAAAGCTGTTTTCAAAACTGATCTGAGCAGTAAGGCAGCCCACATGCACATGTTTTTGAGTGAAAGCTGATTACTGTTTGTGATGGTCCGAGTTGTTAAACTACAGCCTGGACCTGGAATCTGCCCTCCTGATAGCCTAGGGTGCGTTGCAGGGAATCTGTGGGAAAAATCTGACTTTGAGGTAGAATGCTGAATCTGATTCCCAAGCAAAGACTGATTTTGAATCAGGGTTATGTTTGTACTTACCCCACTTTGTGTTCCCCCAGCACGTGTGACAGAAAAGATCTTTTCCTTCTGTGTGACTCCCTGTTTACAGCATCACCCGGAGAGATGGAGTGAACAACAGAATCATCTGGCATTGAGAAAAGCAGCTGAAAAATTGTTTTTTCAAATGCCTTCAGTGCATGCTTCATCCCATTTGCTCTGCTGATACCACTGTTAAATGTAGGTGATGACACATCCTTTTCAGGCACAGTACTGTGTGCACGATTTTCACAAGCTATGCGAGTCCCCCGAGGGAAAGAGCTGCAGCTTGTCCCATCAGTCTGCCTCGTGGTCTTGTGTACTTGCCAGGCTGCTTGACCCTGTGTCTCTCCAGGATGGTTTGAATTCTGCATTCAACCTGGGCCTGTACACACAGCATACAAAAACTGAGACATATATAGAGATAAATATATATATATTTATTGCTCTAGTGGGAGGGGGAGAGCAGGCAGTGAGGAACACGAGGGCAGGACAGAGGAGACGTGCAAGGAGGAGTAGGAAAGAGAGGTCAGCAAACAGGCTGTGGAGGTGGCTGAGAACAGTGAGGGGCTTGCAGGGAAAGGAGGAGCAGGGGCTTGCAAGACCAGGGATGGAGAAGGCAGCACAGCAGCAATAAGGCATGAAGAGAGAACTCAGAGGCTGGTGCCTCAGGTTCTGCTTGAGTGGACAGCACGAGTTGGTTGAGGAATGAGGATTGCAAAAGTGGCAGTGGGAGGCAGGAGCAAGCAGCACTGCAGCCGGGCAGCAGGAGGCGTGGGGAAAGCCCAGCGTGCTGTGATGCATTGTTTTTAATGTGCTCTATGGCAATTGGAGCTGTTCCTGCAGCGTGGAACTGAGCTCAGTATGAGCCAACGCATCTGTCTGACAGGCTGTCCTCAGGAGCAGGGACTGAAATAGCCGCTGTCCTGTGCCTGAGGACAAGGTTGGACAGCCCTTTCTTTGCCTGCCGGTGGTTTTCCCTGCAGTGTCTGAGTGCATTTAACTGTGGACTTTGTTCTGCTGAGGGGTGAGCACCACCTGCCACATGTTGCTTGTGGCCTTTAAGCAACTGAGCCAATGTGCCCCAAGTGTAGAAACATGAGAAACAGAGCAGAGTTCCCTTGGCTGCTGATTGAAGCAGTTAATTGCTTGGAAAGGCAAAAAGGACACTTAGAAGGGTTTCCTCTTGTAAAATCAAGACAATAAATGATCTTTCCTCCAGGCTAGGAAAGATGGAAAGTCTTGTCTGAAATCTAGCTGCTGAAAGCCAGGAACCCTGGCTGCCAAGGGCTACATGATAGAGTGAATCCTCCTCCTAGAAAATGGATGCTTCCAGTTCTCATTTTCTCTCAGCTCAGGTTCTGAAGTGAACAAACCTTTAAATAATTCTGTTGAATGAGAGATGAGTTTTCATGGCCTATTGGTGAAATGGTTAATTCCCTGCATGCAGGATTTCAGCAGGGCATTAGGGATAAAATTTGGGTTTTCTGTTAGGAGTTGGCAAAGCACTTCATCAAATCATCACAAAGATCTTTTAGTTAATCAAGTTCACATGTTAACCTAACACTGCTAAGATCACAACTAAACTGTATTCCTAAATGCCATATCTACACATATTTTCAATACATGCAGGGATGGTGACTCAGTTATGGACACCTGTTCCAATACTTAACAACCCCTTCCATGAAGAGATTTTTCCTAATGTCTAATTGGAAGATTCATCCTAAACAGCAGTCAATGTAGCCACTGTAAATCTGCCCTCCTGTACTACATATGGTTTGTACTCTACTTACTGCCTCCTGTGATGGAAGGAAGTTAGTTCCCTGTGCCACCTCACTAGCACAAAATGGACTCTTCCTAAACTGTTTATAATGGTGTTATTGGGAACACAGTCAGGGAGATAGAACACTAGAACACTTTGCTCAGACTTCTGGGTTTTTTGCTTTTTTTTTTTTTTTTTTTTTTTTTTTTTTTTTTTTGAAAACTGGAGCATGTATAGTGCTGAGAAAGGAGACTATGAAACAGAAAACACAATCACTCCTGTTTGCTCTGAGTTCCTCTAGGAAGTCAGAACCTATGATGTGGAATGTTGTAAGGGTGGGAAGCTTCAGCCATGGCTGAGGCAACAACAAATTTTCTGACCTGTCAGTACTTGTCTTAACAGTTTTAACATATTTTTTTTCCTCTGTATGTAATTTGCCACATGCTGCAGCCTTATTATTTTTATTAAAATTGTCCTAGAAAGTGTTCACGGCTCTTCACTTTGGCCATTCCCTTGTAAAGAATAGGTTCTAAAATACCACAAGTGCCATATAGGATCAAGAAGGGACACAAACCTCTCATAACCTCACCTGACTGCCAATTTTCCCCCTGCTTCAGGGGAGACATGTACAAGAAAGTACCTTGTCCATCATTAGTAATGTCTTTAAATTATCTTATCTCATGCCTAGAACGGACATCATTGGCATTTTGTATAGAAAAAATGTCACCACTGGCCCAGTGTGGAGAGTAGCATTGAAGGTAATATTCATGTTATTTATTATTCTTTTGGAATATTATTTTTAAAATGAAAAATACATGCTGCTTTTTAAAAGTGTCTTTGAGTGTGGAAAATTTGGTTTATACGTAGAAAACTTCCAATAGACAATTCAGGTATCTATATGTTTGTACTTTGTATAATGGACTCTCAGCTCAGGAAAATTGAAAAACTTACAAATTTTGTTGTACCTGACAAAAAAAGGAAGAACAAAAAGCTGACCTTTTTTTCTGGGAAACAGTATATTTTAGACTAGATTTAAACTTTAACAACATATTTTTGCTTTTAATAATGTACATATCAGTGTTGTACATATCAACATTGTACTAATAAAATATAGTGTATTTCTAAAAGCATTTCAGTTTCAATCAGCATTTTCCAACAGAAAATCTGTCCAGTTCACATTTCCCAACTTCATCCAAAAAATGTTTGCAACAAAATGTTGTCAGCAAAAATGCACTCAATAAATATAACTTTGTTGTGCTGCTTCTCTGGCTAATTCCAATGATAGCAATGTGAACCTTTGTCCTAGACAGATGAAAGAAATAAAATTGCTTGGAGTGCAGCTATATGCAGATAATTAAAGCCTATGTCAGCTCTACCAAAAAGCATTGATAATGCCAAATTAAAAGAAAAAAGGAACTTATTATATTTTCCTAGTCTTTCAGAAGATTCATTTGAGAATTTGGCCCAGGCTTCATTCTGCAAGGGCAGCTGAAAGAGTGAACAGAACTCCTATGGATGTCCTGACCTGTCTGTGTGTACTTGGCCCATCATGGGACCTAATACCATGAAGGTATAAGGTTGAAGGTAACACTTGTAGCTCCATAAGGCAAGAATCTGCCTCTTTTTTATTTTATCCAAATGTAAATGTCAATGTAAATGAGCTGCAAATATTTATTTTATATTAAGGTGTAGAATATTCTTATGTCTGCTTTATTAATGTATTTTGCAGGTTAGGAAAGACTAAGGTTATAAGCTTTCATACCATTTCTTGATCAAGATAACTGCATTAAGTTCATATAGACAAATTATCAAAGGAAAAATATAATTTCTTTGAGAATGATTTTCATAAAGATTTTATAATCTCGTCTCTCTACTGTCAGTAAAGCTGTATGCATAATGAAACTAAATGAGCAATTTGGCTAAACAACATACCTCAGTTCAGGTCTCCAATCCGTACTGACCAAAGAGATGATGTCAGAAAAGAACAATACTTCAAATCATGTTTACTTACATTTCTATTAAATATTGGCTTGACTGTCTAAAACACACTGTGTGTTATCATTTAAGAAGGTTGATATATGTTGTTATAGATGTGTTCCTACTTCCATGTACCAAAACCTTCTCTCTTCCTCTCCCTCCCCCTCTCTCACAATGCAGGTTGGCAGATTTTGGTGGCCATCATGTTTCAGAAGATGTTGCTAGTTCACCATCATTCACTGCTAAATAGAAAAAAAGAAAAAAAAAAAAAAAACCCCATCAGAAAAATAAACAATAAACAGCACAAAGTTTACACTTTCTTTTTTTTAACTTCTTGATGAAGGATGCCTGTCAATAAAAATAAAATCAGAATAATGTATAATCTATTTGAAGAAACGATAATGTAGCTATACATTTAGAATAAAGACTTGAAGGCTCTCTCCAGATGCACATCAGTCAGTGACAGCGAGCAACAGCCATTAAAAGAATAGCCACTAGAGGCCTTCAGTTGCTCGGCCCGTCAGCAGTGATGAAGGAACAGCCCCCCTGCCCACCCAGGGCTTGTTACCCTTAAATCTCTGGGTGACTGTCCTTTTCCTCCAGCAGAGCACAATTCTCCATGTGAAAAAAAATCTCACGGGTGCTCCAAATGGACATGAATAGCTGATTCACACACTGATAGTCCTAGAAAAAATAAAGGAATGAATAAAAAATTAAATTGTGTGATTTGTTACAAGCAATGTGTGACACTGCGGGAGCAGTGCTCCCCACAGCTGCTGGCATGCTGACCTCTCCCCTTGGCTGCCTTTCCACTGATCCCAACCGCCTGCAAACACCTTGGTGGGATAACAGCATTCCACTAGAAAACTGTGAGAGGAAGTCCACTGAACAACAGCAAGGGTGTTTTATTTCCAGCCGTGTGACAGCTCAGGATTAAATGGATTTTCATTGTTCTTTCCCTACTGCAATTTGGACACGATGGCAGTGTAAGTGCACCCGGGGTTTTATTTGGTGCCGCCCCCCCGTCTGCGAGGCTGGTATTCTCCCACTAGCTGCCTGCTCTAAATATGGCCATGGCCAGTGTGTCAATAATCCCCCTCTTTAAGGGGCTTGCAAACATTAGTGTTGGGACATTCTTGCTGTTCAGATGTCTAGCTGACGTCTGATGCTTAAAACGGAGCATGCTTTCATCCCTTCATGCATTGTCGTAAGCCCCCGATGATTACTCTTAAAAGGGTGCCTCTGGCTATGCAGGGAAACAGTTGCTGACCACACGAGACACAGCCTGCTTGCTTCAGCCTTCTTGAATGCCTGGTCACTGTAGTTTTGTACCAGCCTGACCAAGCAGGACCATGTCTACCTTTGGGTATAGAAGAGAGCTGAGTAAATATGAAGACATTGATGAAGATGAGCTCCTCGCTTCTCTCACTGAAGAGGAGCTGAAGGAGCTGGAGCGGGAGCTAGAGGACATAGAGCCCGACCGTAACCTTCCAGTGGGGCAGCGGCAGAAGAGCCTGACGGAGAAAACACCAACGGGGACTTTCAGCAGGGAAGCACTGATGGCCTACTGGGAGAGGGAGACCAAGAAACTCCTAGAAAAAGAGAGGTTGGGTGCATGCGAGAAGGTAAGATGCTGCGGCATTTGCTGTTTCCTATAGGTATTTGGTTTTATTCTGCATTGGCATGATCTCACTGACTGATTTAATTTCTTTCAGTTTCTTGTAGCATATGTAAGAACATTGTTAGGCATACCTCTGTGCCTGCTAAAGTGCTATTTGCTCAAAGAGTGTTTACTCTCTCTGGAGGTACCTTAAGTGCTCTGTTCAGAACAGAAGAAAGTGCTACAAAAACTATCATTAGTGATTAAAATAGGAAAAAAGTTTAAAGGGCATGTTAGAAATTATTAATAGGTAGAGATGTGGGCTTTTGGACAGCATTCGATTTTTTAAGAAAGCTACGCAAAATGCCTTCCCTTAAAAACCAGCCAGTATTGACTGCTGAGAAACATGTAAGGAAGATAATTTTGAATACATATTATGTCAGAAGTTGAGTAAGCGGATGCCAGGCTTTGTGCTCGCTGTAAGAAAGCAGCTTGTGTTGCAGTCAGCAGCTTTGTTCCTGCTGAGGATCCTTGGCATGGTTCAGGAGTCTTCTGGCAACTGTAGTCAGAGGGCAGCTGTACATTATTTAAAAAGTGGCCTGGGATACAGTCAGCAGTCAAACCATTTAACGGCATTCCCAAAAAAACAACCAATAGTGTTTGTTAGGCAACTCATCCCCAAAAATAAAAATGTTAGTAATAAAAGCCATTTCCTGAACTGCAAACAAGCAGTACAGCTGGGCAGGAGTGAAGGGCTGAGTCTTGGCAAGTAGTGAGCACTCTCAGACTCAGCTGATGTCCATGTTGGCACTCCGAATTCTTGCTGAAAGTGTATGTGAGACTGAGTCCAACCAAAAAGCAACTTCTATTTTCATGATGGCTCCATGTAATTTCAAAACAAAGTGGAGACTTGGGGATTTTTAAGCACTGCTTCATACCAAGCTTTTACTGTGTTTACAGGGACACATTTTCCCATGTTTAAGCAGAAAGTAATACAACAAAGGCAAAGACAGCAAAACTGAACTCAGAACCTCTAACAGCCTTGATGCAGGAGCTTATTTCATTTGCAAGGAAATAATTGCAGTTTATACATTAGATAAAATATCTTCCTAGAAGAAAGTCAGATAGATTAAATTACCCTGCAATATCCAGGATGTTTTTACATGTAAGTATTTTCTCTTGTTCATGAATGGTGGTATAAGGTCTTTGCAGGCAAGAGCACAGACCAGTAGCTGTCATCAGACCATTAGTATCAGCTTGCAGACATCAACTTCACTCCCTGTTTGTCAGTCCTAGAGAGTAAATGGCAAGATTAATGTTTATTTCCAGCTTAGCCTGGAACTTGAAACCTGGGTACTTCTAAAAAACCTGCTGAACAGGTCTACTTCAGTATCTTATACAATGGCAGGATATTTCTTTTTCTTTTCTTTTTCCATGTATATACACCATTGATGGATACTGGCTAAACCTCCAAGTCCTGGCAAAAGACTATAATTTTTGATCTGAGAAAAAACTTCCAAAATGCATGTTGATATGCTGATATAGAGCTCACAAAGACTCTCTCCACTGATGGCAATGAAAAAGGTCCTTGAAAACAATATTCTTCTTGCTTTCAACTGTCTGGAAATAATGCACCTTTATCTAAGATGGCTATTCATGCTTGTTCTATAGTTGGTGGTGACAGATCAGCTGGTCCAAAAGGCAAACAACTTGCAGATAGCCTTTTAGGGTTAATAACTTGTCCTCCCAAGATATTTACCTCTGCATTGACTCTCTTAGTCCTGTCTTTTCATCATGCTACTCCCACAAAGTAAGGTGAAGCCCTACAGGTTGCCTGCAGCAGTCCTGTACCACAGTGCTGCTACAGTAAGAACATGTCTCCGTATTCGACTTCAAAATTATCATGCAGATTATTATGACACCAAACGATATATATGACAGGCAACTAAATTCTGCCTTTGACCTCAGAAATGCCACTCAAAAATAAAGTAGGTTTTTATTAATTTAGCATCACTAAACATATCAAGAGTGAATTTAAAGGCACCTCCTTCTGCTCATCTGTAGTATATATTCCTCAAGATATAAAACCAAAGCCATGAAGACAGGGATTTGGATACCTGGTGTTTTCGTCTTAAAACCCTACACATATATAGAAGATACAGATATAAATCTTAATCCCATAATAAACCTATAGGTAGCACAGTATCTCTCAGCATAAGGGCCTTGCTGCAGGAGAAGCAATATGGCTGTGTCCTACAAGATCTCTGTGTGCAGGAAAATGCAGTCAGACCCTGCAAGACCCCCAGGTACTGAATGCTCAGGACCATCAGGAAGAAACAACTCCATGTCCTGTTTCATTAAGAGTCACAGTTCTGCAAACATTACAATTAGCATTTTTTTTGCATATTTCGCAGCACAGAATTCTGCTGAAAATTGTGAGACAGTACTCTGCATTTTAACAGTTCTCTATTTTCAGAGCCAGATAACTGAGCAAACCTAAAACTGCACAGGTTGTCTAAAAATAGACTGTCCTGTTAGTAACACTTTTGTTTTCCAGAAACAGAATCACTGTGTCTCTGCAGAGTGTACTCATTTTGGAAAATACAATCTAGTATTTTACAGCGATTAAAACACAAGTATTGCTAAAGTATTGCATACAGAATAATTATAATTCATCCAAAGTTTTATGAACATTTACAATTGTAAAGAAAAATGCGTACTATAGTTTTTCCAGTAGACAAAACATGACATGGAAGACCTTTTGAGCAAGAGGTTTAAGGTTGGTTTTAGATTCTGGGTTCTGTCACACCCCTTAGATCCCCATTGACCAACTGGAGTCCTCCATGGGGAGAGTGAGGCTTTCCTGGTCTGAAGATGATTTCCTGCCCCTCTGCATGGAGTTCTCTTTTGCCACCATGATTGCTAATGGCAGCAAGCAGAGCTTTGGGTCATGGCTCCAAATTTTCCTTCCGAGTACCCACCAAGCACACAGAAAGAACCTTGTGTTTCAGAAGAGCAGTGCATTTGCTCTGTAGACAATAACAATTTGTGGTACAGCGCTGACCTGTGACAGCTGGCAGTGAGCACCAGCTTAGCTCCTGACAAACACAAAGAAATTCAGGGGTTATTGACATGTGGTTACATCTTACCTGTGGGAATGCACCTCAATCCTTTCTTCACAAATAATTTATTAGCATGTGCAGCCCATGCAGTACATCCAAAGTATTTTTGACATGACTTCTGTAATTCTGTACTGTTTTGCATGCTGGTATACAAGACTACATGCAGACACTGTATTTTAAAGCATGACAACCATTAATTTTTTAGACATGCTACATGCTAACATATGCAAGGGAGTCTGAGATGTTTAATTGTCATGAAATGAAGAAGCTTGTTGCTCATGTTCATTCTGAAATTGTTGTCTTATGTTTCTGCTGTCAAGGATCCAAATTATATCCCCTTATAGACATGCCAAGACATAGAAAACCTGAAGTATGTCCTTGTCATAATATCTTATATCAAGTTTTCTCTTGGCAGAAATCACTGACATTGGTAAAGTGTTTGCAATTTATGCTAAGCACTATCTAAAGTATGTAGAAGAAATAATGTTAAAAAGGTGTTAGATGAAACCTTTTCTGTTCTCCTGACTGTATCTGTTTGTTTTTAGCTTTCAATGTTAATTTATATAGTGTCAATATAATTTTTCCTGTGCTAAAAGGCAGCAGTTACATTACTTCAATCATGTTTAATACCCACACCTACGTTCCTGTTCAGGATTCTGAGCAAGAAGAGGACAATTCAGAAGAACTTCAAGAAGAATGTTTCACAGAAAGCAATAGTGAAGTGTCCGAGGAGGCATATACTGAAGAGGATGATGAAGAAGAAGATGAAGAGGAAGATGAAGATGAGAGTGATGATGAGAATGAGGAAGAGCAAAATGCTGCAGCTGGCAGGCGTTCTGACCATGTCAGACACAAAAAGTGTAATGGTGCAAAGGACAATGAAAGCTTCCTCAATGGCCATGATGGAAAAGACAGTGATAATCAGAGATTAAAAAGCAGTGCCATCCACCCTTGTGGAAATCCAACAGTTATTGAAGATGCTTTGGAAAAAGTTAGGAGCAACGACCCTGAGACCACAGAGGTCAATCTGAACAACATTGAAAACATCACTTCACAGATGCTTATACAATTTTCTCAAGCCCTGAGGGACAACACAGTAGTTAAGTCATTCAGCTTGGCTAACACCCATGCT